CTCATCTAACATTTGACCCTAAACAAATTAAAATAGAGCACATATATAAAAATTAGTTCGGTCGATTTGAGATGCTAAGGTGCAATCTGTTAATCATTATTGTGCAACCTGATAGTCATTAATATGCAATCCGTATAACATTATTGTGCACTATTATCGTATCCATTTTTTTACGTTTTTCCCAACAAATACTAATTTCGAGCAAAACAAATGATTGATTTGATATTTTTGTATTATTTTTGGTTGAAAATATTTGAGCCCGACTTCGATATATAATGTACAATCTGATATTCGTGATAAAGTACAACGTGTTATATTGTAAAGTGACCGTGAATAAAACGTGTAGTCATATGTCGTGGGCCCATTTATTTGGGTGATGTGTAGAAAATTAACACAATAAATTTATATTATAATTATATATTATTTTTAGTCAAACATATATATAATAGGAATACTGTAGACGATAATGTGCATTATTGTAGACATTAATGTGCAATTAGCCTAACGTTAATGTGCAATTAGTCTATCATTATTGTGCAGTTTATTGAGACGACATTTTTTATTGTGCATAATCAATTTATATATACAACAAAAAATATGTTTAGTTTTTTTTATACACTTTTGTAACACTTTATATTATTTTTCGCTAAAAAATAATATATATAGATGGAATATATAATAAAAAACAAATTATATAATTCGGTCAATTTTATTATTTCATTTTTAAATTTTAAATAATTGACTTATTTTCATAATAAAGTCGAAACGAAATAAAGTAATAAAATTTCCAATATAAGTGAACACGCACACTTGTGTGCTAATGTGCATTCACAAACGCATTAATATGCAATCGATCTAACATTAATGTGCAATAATATAGTCACTAATATAATAGAATCGAAAATTCAACTGATATATAAAAAAAATTTGTCGACTTTTATTAATTTACATATTTAGCCCGTGAACTGAATTTTAATATAGTTATAATTTCTTAATTTTCAAATTGGCCCCTTCAAAATTTCTAATTTTCAAAAATATGACCCCCATATTCAAATCCAATCTTTCCCAATTCAATTTTTTTTCTCTGTTAACATATTTCCTACGCCTGTGGCTGGGGGTAAGGCGGGTAACGCAGAGACGGCAGATGTGGCTGCGGGGAAGGAGGAGATGACGTTGGAACAGGCGTCGGGATAGACGGGTGTGGCTGCGGAGAAGGAGGAGACGGTCGCCGGTGCATCATCCTCGTCAAACAGTGACGGCGGAGAGTTTGCGGCGATGGCAGGACGGGCGGTGGTTGTGGGCAGAGGGACTGGGCGAGGCTGTGGCCGTCGTGATGTTGCGCCGGCGTGAGGTGTCTGTCGGAAGTGACGGATGGTGGCTAAGGGCTGTGTGCGGCGGACTACGCGACGGGAAGGCGACAGGTGAGCGGAGCTCTGTTGGTTGTCGGCGACTGGAGTGCATCTCTCTGTGTGTGTCCTCCCGTGAATTTTGTGTGTGTGTGAGAGAGGGAGCACGTGAGAGAGAGAGAGAGAGAGAGAGAGAGAGAGAGAGAGAGAGAGAGAGAGAGAAAAGGTGGGTGACATAGTTGTTTTGGGAACGGTAACAGGTTATAGGGGTGGGCCCATTAATGTAGTGGTTGGAGTGTGATTAAATGTCCCTATTATCCTTAATAATGGTATAATTTTAACTTTTTTTTCTTTTTTTTTTTTCCACAACGAAGAATATTATTAAGCAACAAAAGAAATACATAGTTCATCTACAAGCCTATTACAAACACACTGACAACCACCTGGAAACAAAATACAACCCAGAAACAGAAATAAAGTAGGAATGAGAGGCCCTTAATAATGAGGGCCTAGCAGAAACAGTTCCAGTGGTCAAGCTAATGGGCAGTACAGAGTACTGAGGCCCTTAGAGATCCACTAGACTAAAAAATGCTAACTAGCCACTGCACATACATGCCTAGCCAGTGAAACAAATTACAGAAAGGGCAAAGGACTCAAAACAAAAAGAAAGCACCTAAGGACCTATATTAGAGAATTCTAACCAATCTGAGAGAGCACAATCCACAATGATCTTCTCCTGCAACCAACTTCTTTCAAAGACCCATAAATTCCTTGCTTTCCACAACCACCAAAGTATATAGGTGGTTAATTGGATTCTTTCCTCAGCTTCCTTAGCCTCATGCATAAGGCATATTTCCCTCCACCAGTCTTTGAAACAATTAATGTCTCCATGCAGATTTGTCCATTGCACTGGGGCTAGCTTCCAAACATGCTTTGCTCTTGAGCAGTTGAACATTATATGCTCTGTTGATTCCTCACTCTCCCCACAGACTTGGCACATGGGATCCACCTTTAAACCTCTCTTGCAAATATTGTCACTGGAAGGAAGAATCCCAGAAAAGCATTTCCAGATGAAATGTCTTATTTTTTTCTTTATTTTTAGCTTCCAGCTGATGTTCCTCACTTTGGTAATCCAGGCAGATTGTGAACTAGTTTCAGGCAGGTCCAAGTCATGTAGTTTATTTTTTGCAAGAAATTCATAAGAGGAAGCAACAGAAAAATTCCCATTCTTATTCATACTCCAAGAAAAACTATCCTTCAGCTCCTTGTTTATTGTAGTAATGCTCAGAATTGCTTCACTTTCAGTAGGTGTGAAAGTCTGTCTGATTAGAGCCTCATTCCAGACTTTTTGTCCTGGTAGCATCAGTTCCCAGACCCAAGTGAGGCTGCTGCTCTGGTGTTCTTTCTTTGCTGGCTTTTTGTCTGGGAGGGTTGGGACCCAAGGATGGTCCCAAATTTTTGTACTCTTGCCATCTCTGATTATGATGATGAGACCTTGTTTAAATTGAGGCAACACAGACATCCAGCTCCTCCATATCTAAGAGCTGTTCTTGGGTGGTTTGCAATCCAGCATTGAGCAATTTGAAAAGTACCTGTCCCTGAGAATTTTGCTCACTAATAGATGGGGTTTAGTAAACACTCTCCAGAGTTGTTTCAGAATAAGGGATTCATTAAAAAGCTTTAGGTCAG